CCATCTATACCAGGTTCAGCTCGAGGAGGAGGGAACCATCAAGGCACCAGCCAGAGAACACCGCCGATGATGATTTTGTTGATGAAGAGCATGGACCTGTGGTGGATCACCCCATATGGTATATCCGCACCCTCGGCCTTCAGCAATCGATTATCAATGCCATCACAGTTTGTAGGTATAAGAAAGGAGAGGGCTTGATTGAAGGAACCGAGTGTGCGGTTTGCTTGAGTGAGTTTGAAGAGGATGAAAATCTCAGACTTTTGCCTAAATGCTATCATGCTTTTCATTTACCCTGTATTGATACCTGGCTTAGGTCTCATACCAACTGTCCCATATGCCGGGCTCCCATTGTTTCTGACCTTGCAACCGCTAGGTCGGAGTCTAGTTTTGTTGATTCAAATTCCTTTGGACATACCCATGTGGAAATTTTGGAAAATAGTGCTCCTGATTCTGAATTAGGAAATAGGGCAGAGGAAGAGGTCCAAGTGGAGGCTGAAGATGGATTTAGGGTTTGTGAAACTGAAATCCCAGTTGAAGAGGTGTCAGGCATTCTTCCTAGAAGATCTGTTTCTCTGGATTCCTTTTCTGTTGCAAATATTAATCGTGCTCTTGCAACATTGGTATCTAATGCTAACTCAAAAAGAGTGCTGGGAGGCGTGGATGATGCTGCTGCTTCTTCTTCTTCTTCTTCTTCAAAGGTGGCTTCTGGAAGCGATTTGGCAACCACTTCCAAAGGCAGCTCCTCTTTCAGGTTAACTAGGTATCTGCCGGGTGCTCCTGGTTCTTCAATGAAAAGTTCACAGTCCTATAATGGAAAGTACCTTCTGTCCTGGTACGGTCGCAATCAGAAGAAGCCAAATGCTCCTCTGAGAAGCTTTTAGTAACATTAGAATTGCTACCTTTTGATAACTACCCGACAAAAATGTACATGTAACTCTCTACAAGGTGAGAGCTTCGATTTTTAATTACTGCATGAAGCAACTTATGTGATGCTCAAAGTGTATGTAAATCTGTAAGTTGCAAATAAATACATTGTTGAATTTTGCTTAGATAGTTCCATGTACGGTGAGTGTCTTTACATGAAATTCTGCTGTGTCAAACGAATCACTAAAATCCTGCTGCATATCGTTACAAAAGGATCAATTATTTATCCGCTGCGTTTTAAAATCTTCCTGACTTGCAATTGATGGAAGACGAATACAGGGTTTTCATGGATCTCTGCGTAAAATTTTAAAGGTAAATAATTCCTCTGTGTGTTAGCTTAAAAACTGAACCTCACTTTCATTTCTTTTGACTCATTTAATTTAGATTCCTTGGTGAATTTGTAAGGGCTACTGTAAAACTTTGTTGCTAGGTTTTGTAAGTGAAACAGTTTGGTGGAAGGAAAATGGAAGAGGTTTTAAATATATTGTTTGGATTAATTTAAAAAAAACGAAAAAAATTAGTAGTCTTCTTTACATTTTGAAATGTAAAATTAGAAGATATGAAAGATATAATTTTTAATCCTTTTCTACTCCTGTGAGAACAAAGCAAGGATTCTCCTCATCTCCATTGAAATCTCTCTCATCTTTCCCTTTTCCTTTCATTAAAATCGCACTTTTCCTCTTACCATCGTTAGACCAAACAGATGCGATTTTCTAGACTTTTATCTGCTATTTAGGTTCCCATTATTTAAGGAAGGATGAGTGTTTACGCTTGATCAGAGAAGCCTCACTTTATTCTTGCCAGTGTCTTGGTAATTGTATTTAGATATACACTTTCACAAATTTAACGTTTGCAATTAGAATGAGTAATCACTGAAGTTATAAACCAAACTGATAATGAAACTCAATTGCAGAAGTAAAAACTAAACTATTTTTTAAAAATATTAAACTTTGAATTACCATATTAATTGAATTTTTAAAATCTAAATTATTTATGAAGTACCTAAAGTGTATTGCTAAAGAACCTAAAATGCTAATGTATACTGCCACCGTGTTCCAGTTGGAAACAGGGCAAATACGCTGCAAAATTCTCCATAAACATTGGTCTCAGCTTATTCATATGGAAAAGCTAGGCGTCTGAGCAGACAAACATCCGCCGGAGACATTGCCAGAGGATTTCGGAGAAATTGTAGATCTATTAATCGCTGAAGAAGATTATGCATACTACACGTTTCCATAAACACAGTTGATGGAAAAGTTAAGAGAAAAAACGTAAGAAAAACTACCAAAATGTTGACCAACAATACACTAATTCAATGCGAAATTTTAAAAGATCAAGATAAATAAGCATTACATAGTAAACAAACACAAAAATATGGTTTCCTCTATTCGTCCTCGGCATCTTTGTTTTTCTTTTTCTTATGCTTCTTCTTTTCACTCTTATCAGCACTACCGTCATCCTCCTTTCCATTGCTAATTTCTGCAGCAGCAGCTTCTTTGTCTTTCTTTTTCTTCTTTTTCTTCTCAGACTTGTCTAACTCCGGCGAACCGTCTTCAGCCTTATCCTTGTGCTTCTTCTTCTTCTCCGTTGTTTTCTCCTCATCCGAAGAGGCCACTTCACTGTTATCCTTATCCTTCTTCTTTTTCTTCTTCTTCTCTTTCTTGTCAACTTCAACCTCCACAGCCTCATCAGCTACATGCTTCACCTTTACCTCTTCTACATCCACTTTCGCCTTCTTAACAGAGACCGAAACTGGGCTATCAGTGCTTTCATGCTTCTTCCTCTTCCGTCCTTCCCCGTCTCCGTCCTTCTTGACCTTCTCATCCTCAGGTTCCGGCGCAGCAGCCATACCAGCAATCACACTATCCCCACCGGTGGGCAAAACAAGATTCCTAAGCCACTCCTGGGGAGTCTTTTCATTGGGCTTCCCATGCTTATCCAGCTTCCCTTCAGAAATAAGCTTCTTCTTCATGGAAGCTCTAGGTCCCAAACCCCATTTCCTTGGATAAGTATCCCTATCCATGACAACCCTCTTGATCTTGGCCACAACCCCATGATCACAAGTGGCCATAACAGCAGTAGTCATCTCAGCAATCCCAAGAGCAATAGCCTCCCCCTTGGTGGTCATAAGCACAACCTCCTCCCCAACATCAATATCATTCTCAAACCTAAGCAACCCAGGAATCATCAACTTAGCACCATAGCAAATAGCATTGACAGCAGAGTCCTTAACAACCAGCCTCTTATAGCTAGTCAAAAGAACTTCCAAGGGCATAACCGCCCTCCTCAAATAACTCTCATCCCTAAAATTATCAAAAACCCACTGGGCATCCATGACATCATGCATGCTCACCATGTTATCCTTCTCCCCCATGATCCCAGACCGAACCCTCCTAAGCTCTTGCATATGGCCACCCACACCAAGAAGCAACCCCAAATGGACACACATAGTCCTAACATAGGTCCCAGCCTCACACGAAATCCAGAAAACAACTAAATGCCTATCAGGGTCATACTCAAGGAGCTTACTTTCGTAGATGGTCCGGATGCGGAGTTGACGTTTGACGGCAGAGATCAAGGGCGGGCGCTGGAAGACGGCGCCAGTGAGGGTCTCTAGGGCGCGTCCGACCTTGGAGACGTCGGGAACAGCGGAGTGAAGGCGGGCGATGCAGACGTATTCCTTGCCGGCACCCTGCTGGGACTTGACGAGGCGAGTGGCGCGGTCAATACAGACGATGAGGTTTCCGGTGACCTTGGGGTCGAGGGTACCGGAGTGGCCGGTCTTCTCGACGCGGAGGAGGCGCTTGATCCAGGCAACGACCTCATGGGAGGAAGGGTTGGCGGGCTTGTCGAGGTTGATGACGCCGTATTTGAGGTATTCGGGTAGGGGGCGTTTGAGGGGGGAGTAGCCGGAGGGGATGGGGGTGTAGTGGCCGGTGCGGACATTGAGACGATCGTAGTTTTTGAGAAGGATGGGCCATTGGGAGGTGTCGATGGGGGGAGTGAAGCTCTGAGGTTTTATCATCAACCCCTCATCTTTGCCTGCTTGGTCCTCTTCCTTCTTGCTGCTGCTGCGCTCCTTCTTCTTCTTACTCTCCGACTGAGACATCGTGACGGTAGGGTTTTAGGACTGAGGCCAATGGAGGCCATCAAACTCAACCAGGGTTTTAATTAAAAGGACTCACCTCCTCCGCTCCACTGGGCCGGGCCACTCAACACCAATCAAACGGGCATTACTTCCTGCACCCCATCTATGTTCAAATGAACATTTTACCTTTATCAAAAAGTTTAATAAAAAATTAAAATATTTTTATGTTTTTTTTATTATCTTACTGTATTATTTAAAATTTATTTTAAATACACTTTTAAATTTGAAATTACATTCTAAATTACATAATTCAAGATATATTTAAAAAAGTCAATTAAAAATATATTTTAAAAAATCATTCGTAATCAACTATTAATATTCTTTTTTAGCTTCTTACTATGCTAAACCCAGCTATATTGTGAGGAGATGGAGCACCCCATGTTCAAGAGTAGTTTACGGAGCATATGAGAATCGAACAAATTAGTAAAATGTATTGTAAAATTTACATTTTTAAATATATATTTCAGAATACTAATTTTACATTTTTAAGTATTCAAAAATCCTTTCTCTCTCTCTCTCTCTCTCTCTCTCTCTCTCTCTATATATATATATATATATATATATATATATCTCAATGTCTATTTAAAAGACAATACAGTAAAAAAAACATCAAACAATGGCTCAACCAAGACTCGCATCAAACCCAAAACTTCATAATCTTATATTTATCCTATTTATTATTTATTAAGACTAACCTTAAATATTATTATTATTATAAATAGGTTTAATGAAGTATGGAATTCCTCATAAATTTGTTGTACTTTTAAGTTTTTAACACATAAAATAAGAAAATCAGATAATAAGATAATATAATATAACGTGACCCAATTAACTAAAAAAATTAAATTAAAAAATATAAAATTTAATTATCTAGTAAATAATTAATAAAAAATGATCAAAATTTATAAGTAATAACAGGGGAGTGAGGAGCTGGTCGCATATACCCGGTCCATCGTAGTCCGGTTTAAACCAACTCCTTTCAAGTTTCGTTTCTCATAGCCGCTGAGTTTGGTCTGTGTCCAGAGGTTTCAAATTTAATCCTTTTCTATCTTTATATTTTTTCAATCGTTCTTCTTTCTCTTGCGTTGCGTATCAATGTGTTGTTATCTGGGTTGTCTTGCATAACACAACCTATTAAGCTTTGATTTCGATTCATAACCAGAATGTTACGAAGGTGGAGCAAAGTAGTTTCTCCAATCTCCAAATTTGGATCGCAGAGCCATCTTTATTTCGTCAAGAATGTCACGTGCCAAAGCTACGCTGGGGTTGCACCCGCGCCCATGATAGAGGACAAACCTCAATCCCCTGCGGTATGCAAACTTCACTTTCTTTCGCTCTTCAACCATAACTCAAATTTGCAGAACTAAAATGGAAATGAACTGCTATTGATTTGATGCTGCTAACCAAAATTTGTACTTAGCAGGTTAACCCACACAAAATGTTTTGGTCTAAACCCTGTTCGCTGGCCCTGCCCCCTGACTCACCCCTCAGAGTTGAAGAACCTAATTATCAGGGCATCAAGCGTTTCATGCTCAAACTCATGATGTTTTATAGTAAGCAGAGCAGGTCAATTCGAGGGGCTAATGTTGTGTACCATAGAATCATTTCACAAGTTGATAAACCTCCCATTTATGAAGGTCCGTTGTCCTAGTAGCAATAATATTAGCCGTAGCGGTAGCTCAGATGCTTGTATGCTCTTATGATTATTCACTCACACAACTATGTTCCTATAACCCATTTTAAACTGCGGTAGTTGTTGAGGACACCCAAAAGTGCTTGTTGATGTTGGGGCCAAAATCACAGCTGCATACCCTATTTTGAAACTTTAATCTCACTAATTTAGTCTTTTGGGCTGTTTTGGGGTTGAATTAATTGACAGCCAATGATTTCTCACAATACAAAGCTTCTTACTTATAGGAGTTATGCATCTCTGGTAGTTTGGGTATTTGTAGCCATTTTCTGCGATATTCTGCTTATTTGCTATCAGTGGAAGCTCTTGGTTTCCCCTCCTACAGTTTTACATTCCTGCTGACTTGTAATTGGTAGAATATGAATACAAGATTTAATGGATTTGTGCATGGAATTTTAATGATAGATTCATCCTCCGCATGGGTAATATGACAAAGCTGTTCATATCACTTCATTCTATTCTTTTTCTGATTCATGATTGTATTAGGTTCTCTGTTGATGAATATACACCTGAGTTAAAAACTGTGTTGTTTGAGTGTTTGTGTTTTGTAGTACTTTGTTTTATAAGGTTTCTTTTTCTTATTGTTCTATATTTTCGTGTGGGGTTTTAGAGAATTTATTTTCTGATGACAGTTAACAAACTAAAGACCACATTTTGGCCATATTATGACTGATAAAAATGTCATTTGCTTCCGTTTACATTTGTTTATGCTTTTGAAGTTCCCACCATTTAAGGAAGGGAAATTGTGTCATGCTTGTTTGGGAAAGTTTATCTTTTTTGGTGCTAGTGTGTCTCCGGTGATTTGGTATTTATGTGCTTAGAAAAATTAGTTGTTTGCCATCATAATCGAGTGATCATGGCATGGAAGGAGTTTGATTTGTATTAGTGTAAAGTTTCGTTAGAACTAGTGTAAACTCTCTTGACATTCTAAACAACTTCTATTCGCTTGCAGTTTTTAACTTGGAGAAAACATTCAAAACAACGTTCTCTTTACTTGTACTTCATATGTGGTTATGTTTGCGTCGCTTGAAGCAAGAGGGAAATGAGGGTGTTGAATTTGGGCAATATCTTTATGAGATTTACAATCATGATGTGGAGCTAAGAGTGTCCAAAGCTGGAGTAAGTACTCGTTTATTTATGATTTGATATATTTTTGGGAACACTGTACACTGAAAATTTTTCTTAATATTTTCGTTTAGAATATTTAGTAGCTATTGTTTCACATCATTATTCCACGGTATTTTGCCTTAAATTCCTTCTTTTGCAATTTATCCAAAGTAGTCTGGGGACTTGACTCTGTATTGGTGACTTATGATCGTTCAATTTGAAATGGCAGGTTAACCTACTACTGACTAAGTGGATGAAAGAGCTCGAGAAGATATTTTATGGGAACATTGTTGCCTATGATACTGCAATACTTCCAGAAGCCAAACCGGGTGATTTCTCCAATGTTATATGGAGGTCGGTAATAATCTGAATGTAATCCTCTGCCTGTTTAAAGTAGGAAACTTTAGATCAATGCTTTGCTTCTCTCAGTTTTGGATATTGAATCAGTGAAGACTCAGTTCTCATACCTAGTACTTCCTTTATCTTCGCAGTCTATCCTCATCTGTGTTTTTTTTGGGGGTTTCAGGAATATATTCTCTGAAGATGGGTCTTCAACAGAAGACGATGCTGCATCTCAATCAGTGCAGGTATGCCTATATATGTAGCATTTTTCATTATATTTGCAGAAAAATAGTGTGAATTTTCTAACATAGGCTTCTGAGATTGGGACTATTGCTTGGTATTTCAATCTATAAGCCAAGATGTTGAACCCTGGGGCAACTGTTTAATCAAGCCATACAACTTGTTAATGTTAACCAATCACCAATGAAGTTACTTCTTAACCTGCTGTCATTCACCAGTTGCGTCCACTCTGGGTTAATATTTTGGCATGGCTTGACTTTTCAAGAATTCATTCTTTTATTGTTGACCAATTTTTTTGACACATTACCGTTATGCTGGAGTTTCTTTTTTCAAACTTGGCAAGCATAGTGATCACTTTTAATGAAGTAGAGACTACTAGATGAGTGGCTTTCTTTCCTGAATTCGTATTAACTGCCACTTTACTACCCAGAAATGTTTCTCAAGTAAATTTTTCGTTCTAGTTATCATGAATTTTTCATTCTTTCCCTTGCCCTTCATATTTTAACTGAATGCTAGATGCTTAAATTGTATCCTCAGTGCGTTCTTATCTTCCTTGTTTATATTAAATATACATAGACATTTATACTGAACTATTGTTTTAGGCGCTCGCCAGGTATGCTCGCCGGGAAGAAAGTTGCATGACTTTAACAGGTAAAACACTGTTCGTTTTCTCTTTGTCTGTAAGAAATGTCTGTATATGTTTATATTATAATTATTATTGATCATGAAGTGGCCGACTTAAACAGGTAAACACCGTCTCCTTTTGTCCTTGTCTGTAAGAATTGTTTGTAGATGTAATTATGCGTTATATTATTATTGACCGTGAAGTGGATGAAAATGACGAGCGAATGCCTGCTGCTTTTATACTTGGTGATAAAGTGAGCTGAAGAGCTCCCCATCACGCCACTAGGGTCTCATTTGAAACCTGTTAAAAAGGATTTCGAGGCCATAGGAAAACAAGGAAGTATTATCTGCAAGGAACCTAGCCTTAATTTGGTGGAATATTCGGATCAATATGGCTAGTTTTTACATGCTTGATGAGTTTTTTTCTGCAATTGATAGAGATATACGTCTTTATATTTCTGGACTTCATGCTACACTTCTACCTTACGGACTGCAATCTTTCTTTTAACTAAATAATCGTTAACTAAATACATAGTTTTCACCATGTCATTAAATATTTACATAATGCTCTCTGCATTTTACTTCTGTCCTCCCAAAGAAACATTAAAAAAGTTATTTTGAACTCAGATACTCCATGCACATTAGTTGTTTCACTGGCAGGAAACTTTAAAAGATATGTCAATGAAAGAATTCTAGCAGATCTCATGCAAATATTGTTTTCTGTTTTTTCTTTTAATTTTGAGTTTTATTGAATTGGCAGATATAGAAGCACTATTTTCAGGGAATTTCATGTTCACCTCATTGAAACATGAGAACGGAAGAGGAAAGAGGCCTCAATGATTAGTGACGATTTCTAAATTGTGATTCGGTGATTGAAAATACACGCTGTTATTTTTTTACCTTTCTTAACAAAAAGTGTTGAATAATTATGACAAAAGGCTTGTGTCCTTCTCCGTAAGTCTTTATACCTGATTAGCTTGGTGTCTAGATACTAGATTTTTTTCATATTCTTTGCTCTGTAAAACAAGAGAAGAAAGAGTTGGGCGTGATTAAAAAGTGTCACTCTTTCTTTTTAAGGTCCTCTGTTCTTTACAGCGTCTTAGCTGCTATTAACCAGTTGCCTTCGAAACTGAGTTTATATGACAGTAATTAATGATATCCATAATTTCTGTTTGTGATAAGCTCATGAAAATGTTGTCAAGCAATTTGCCATTTATCACAAACTTCGACGAATAGTTTTTAGCCTTAAGCGATAGAGACGCTTGGATTATTATTCTCTCAGCATTTTCAAGTCTTGCTTTTTATTAGATAGATCTTAAATTTAAAGATTGAGCCATATACAAGATTTTTAATCTTAAAGAGTATAGGGTTGTACTGTGTGGGAGAAAGATAATTTTATACAAGATTTATTTCATATTATTGTTTTATTCTTTACAGTGTCTTAGCTGTTATTAATCAGTATTTATTCATGCTTGCCCTTCAAAACGGAGTTTATGTGATAGTAATTATTGACATCCATAAATTATGTTTGTGAAAATGTTGGTTTTTGACGTAAATCTTGAAATCTACAAAAGTAATACCTTTTGTACATAAAAATGTAATGACATATTTTAATGTGGGAGTGATTTTTAGAGTAAAGTAAAAGAATCTTTAAAACTTAACCGAATGAGTAGAAAATGTGTTAAACTGTTATATTAACCTCGTGGGTTAAGGTAAATTTAGGGTTCGAAATGTGATGGTGGAATGATATGTAGATATAATAAATTCGTACGAGTTAATTATTAACATAATTTGTCCAAAATAGTATGACAATGGATTTTGGGTTACTTCTAATTTGTCCAAAATAGTATAATAAATTCGTATGAGTTAATATTTCTTATTTTTTATATTGGTTGAAATTTCTCTCATTTACATTTTTCTTTCTCTCCATAATAAACTATCAACACTTAGTATGAAACATATATGTAATACTGATATTATTAAAAAAAATACTAATAACGCCCTCATTAAAATACTTTTTACTATTTTATAGACAATTTTAGTAAATTTCCATCTTTCTTTTTTTTAATAAGAAAATTCATCTTTTCATATAATAATTCTTTCCTGATTGTAGTTCAAATAAATTTTAATTAATTGCGAAGTGGGTATTAGAAAAAAAAAACGTTGCCTCTATTATTTTTACTAAAGGTCAGTTAAAATGGTCTTTATTTGGGTGGTTTAAAATTAAAAAATAAAGAGCTGAAAATAATAGAAGTTATTTGATATAGTAAAAATAAAATATAAATATTATTTCCTATATTTTTTAGTCAAACATATTTTATTTTGGTTAAGATTTTTTTATTTAACCACTGTTTTTTTTCCTTTATAAGTGCATAATAAAGGTAGGAGTAATAATATTTCTACTATTTTAATTTCAACTCAAACATATAAAAGTAATTGGTATTTGCCAATTTATACTTTTCATCCAATATCTTTAACATTCTCATTTATTTTAAGTACTGAATTCTAGGAGCTAAAAGAACCCAATAATCTATTTTACAGCACAACGTTAACTATTGTAATAAAAAAAAATTAAGTTCATGTTTACAAAATATTATTTAGACCAATTTTAGTCATTTTTAAATAAAATAAAATTTCACATTATTAAGGATTTTGTTCTTGGAAAGAAGACGAAGGAGGTGAAGAAGGGAGCAAGTGAGAAACGCCGCCATGGCGCATCGCTCACTTTTCCTCTCTCTCAGACGGTAAGCCCATTTTTCACGTTCTCTTATTGGTTTCCCATAAAAACACAACCTAAAATTACAATCTTTTATGATTCTGCATCTTAACTGATTTTTCTGACCATACTTTCTTGACAACCAATCATAATCGAGTTTTTGGGTATGGGTAATTGATCTGAAAATTGCATCTTCTCATCATGCAGAAGTAGCGGTTTAGCTAGCGCACAGAACAGAACAAGATTTGCGTCTTCGGGTGCTGTGAGCAGTGATTTAGTTGAAGAGAGTGTGGAAGGTGATGACCTAAGGAGCAGAATCTTGAGGCTAAGGCTCCCCAAGCGAAGCGCCACAAACATTCTTCAGAAATGGGTCCTTCAAGGGAATCCTGTTACGCTTTCTCAGCTTCGAGATATTTCCAAAGAGCTTCGAAGATCTCAACGTTACAAACACGCTTTGGAGGTTTCACCCTTTCTTTTCTCATTCGTATCCTCTTTCCATTATAATAGCTAAATAAAAGCAAGACACAGGATTCGAATTTAAAACATTATAGGTACCTAAGCACCGCAAAATTTATGTAGTTCTGTGATGTTGAATTAAGAATAATTTTCACAAATGGTTAGGAAAAAGTGAAACAAAAATCTGTAAAAAGCCACCAAGCAGATCATGCAAGCTTTTGGATCTTTTTATGTTGCTAAATTTCCACGTTACAAGTGGTTATTGTTAAGAATAAATTATACTAACATCACTGATGTTTTTTAAGCTCGCGCCGACACTATTGTCTTTTTTCGAATAATAATCTCTCTTACTCGGTTTAAATTCATTACGTTGATATTACATTGTTTATTCTTGAAAAGGGAGTTACTGTAAAATAAAAAAAGGACACAGTATTGTGTGAATTTTGAAGAAACCACTAGGAATTTGAGTGTAATTTGCTGTATATATACATGTGGCTTTTGTAAGGTTCAGAAGAAGAAAAAGGAAAGATCGTTAGATAGTTCGGTCGCTTATTTCTATAGTGCCTATACTTGTTGGAATGAAAATGTTGTTCAGTACCGTGTCCTTTGGAAAATGAGGTTTTTGCAACATGATAAGTTTCCTGAAGTGAATATGTGACTTAAAATTATTATCTGGATATTACTTATCCTTGACTTTTCCGATTATTAGCTTTTCCTCCAACAAACTGCAATTTCTAATTCTTCCAAATTCTAAGGAGTCAGCCATACACAATTTTATTTTTATGTTTCCTTTTCTAGTGATTATATTACGAATTTGTAACACTTTGAATACTACATTCTTTTTCTGTTGGGTCTAAAGCTTTGCTATTTGTGACTATTGATGATTGCAGATATCAGAATGGATGGTTAGCCATGAGCAATACGAGTTATCAGACTCTGATTATGCAGTGCGAATAGATTTGATGACCAAAGTTTTTGGCATTGATGCTGCAGAGCGCTATTTTGAGGGTCTACCTCCTGCGACAAAGACTACTGAAACTTACACAGCCCTCTTACATTCTTATGCGGGAGCAAAATTGACTGACAAGGCTGAGGAACTTTTTCAAAGGATTAAGGATTCAAACCTCTGCTTTGATGCCCTTACTTACAATGAAATGATGACTCTTTACATGTCAGTGGGACAGTTTGAAAAGGTCCCTATGATTGTTGAAGAACTGAAACAACAAAAGGTTTCCCCTGATATCTTTACCTATAATCTTTGGATAAGTTCCTGTGCTGCCATTCTTAATATTGATGAGGTTAGGAGGATTCTTGATGAAATGAGTCATGGTGTTGGTTGTAATGAAAGTTGGATAAGGTATTTGAACCTGGCCAATATTTATATTAGTGTAGGTCATCTTGATAATGCAAGTTCCAACACACTAGTTGAGACTGAGAAAAGGATCACCCAAGGGCAATGGATTACTTATGACTTCTTAATCATTCTTTATGGTGGGTTGGGAAGTAAGGAGAAACTTGATCAGATATGGAACTCCTTGAGAATGACCAAACAGAAAATGATCGGCAGGAATTACATCTGTATTATTTCTTCCTATCTGATACTTGGTCATTTGAAAGAAGTGGGTGAAATTATTGATCAGTGGAAGCAATCGACGACCACAGATGTTGATATGGTTGCCTGTAAAAAGATTATGGTTGGTTTTAGGAACATTGGTTTGGTTGAAATAGCCGACAACTTGAATGAGATTCTCATTGAGAATAATCTCAGTCCGGATATGATTAACTGAGGTTCTCTGAGCTTCAATGTAATGTAGAATACATAGATTTCGGATCAATTTTGCAACTTTCAGAAGAGTGAATGAATAATCCTGCTGGATGAATGAAATGGAACTCTTGCAATGCTTTGGTGGATGCACAACATTTCATTGTATAATTGCATTGCTTCTAACTTTTTTTTTGGAGTAGTGAAGCTTCTGTCAGAATTTGGATGGGTTTTGCATTAGTTGTTGAATTATTTTCCATCTTTTACAGTTACGTTTTTGCCTGAACTATTGTTTTAAAAAAGCATATTTTATGTGTTTTTTGCTGCATAAGTTTCTTTACTTTGTTATT